GTGGGCCTGTGCCATGTGCTCTGCATATCTTACCTGGTCAGCCAGGTGACCCTAGCACCCCGTACAGGGGCTGTACACGCAGTACTTACTACACAAGTGCTACTATAATGTCCAGTGTATAGATGAGAAAACTTGAGTGTCAGAGATATTAAGTAACTGGCCTAAGGTTAGGCCAGTTAACTCTGACTCTGTTAAGAGTTGACTCTGTCGCCCGGGCTAGACTGCTGTGGCGTCAGCCCAGCTCTCAGCAACCTCAGACTCCTGGGCTCAAGCGATCCTCCTGCCTCAGCCTCCTCCCGAGTAGCTGGGACTACAGGCATGCGCCACCATGCCCGGCTAATTTTTTCTATATATTTTTAAGTTGGCCAATTAATTTCTTTTTATTTTTAGTAGAGACGGGGTCTCGCTCTTGCTCAGGCTGGTCTCGAACTCCTGACCTCGAGCCATCCTCCCGCCTCGGCCTCCCAGAGTGCTGGGATGGCAGGGGTGAGCCACCGCGCCCGGCCTCACAAAATGACTCTTGCCTGCAGTGCCACTGCCTGGGCCCCCCTGTATCTAAAGTCCACCTGCCCTGCCAGGTCCAATTTCAGTTATCTGAAATTGTGTGAAGCCCGCTCTTGTCCTCCTTCAGCTACTTCTGAGCAGTCTCTACTGCCACGGCTAAGAACAACAGTGTGACCCTCCCTTTCATCGTGGGCCTGTGCCATGTGCTCTGCATATCTTACCTGGTCAGCCAGGTGACCCTAGCACCCCGTACAGGGGCTGTACACGCAGTACTTACTACACAAGTGCTACTATAATGTCCAGTGTATAGATGAGAAAACTTGAGTGTCAGAGATATTAAGTAACTGGCCTAAGGTTAGGCCAGTTAACTCTGACTCTGTTAAGAGTTGACTCTGTCGCCCGGGCTAGACTGCTGTGGCGTCAGCCCAGCTCTCAGCAACCTCAGACTCCTGGGCTCAAGCGATCCTCCTGCCTCAGCCTCCTCCCGAGTAGCTGGGACGACAGGCATTCGCCAGCACGCCCGGCTAATTGTTTCTATATATGTTTCGTTGGCCAATTAATTTCTTTCTATTTTTACCTTGTTTTCCCCCAAATAAGACCTACCCATAACATAAGCCCTAGCAGGATTTCTTCTTTTATTTATTTATTTTTTTTTTTTGAGGCAGAGTCTCACTCTGTTGCCCGGGCTAGAGTGAGTGCCGTGGCGTCAGCCTCGCTCACAGCAACCTCCAACTCCTGGGCTCAAGCGATCCTCCAGCCTCAGCCTCCCAAGTAGCTGGGACTATAGGCATGCACCACCATGCCCAGCTAATTTTTCTATTTTTAGTAGAGACGGGGTCTTGCTCTTGCTCAGGCTGGTCTCAAACTCTTGAGCACAAGGGATCCTCCCGCCTCGGCCTCCCAGCGTGCTGGGACGACAGGCGTGAGCCACCGCGCCCGGCCAATATATACACACCTATTTTGGATCGAGTCACAAATTTGCCTTTCAGCGTTCTTCCTGCCAACACCAAAACGCGGATTCAGTTCCAGGATGTGAGTAACAGCCTGGTATTGCCATCGTGGACACACCAGCTCAATTAGCAAGCACAACTCAGTCAAAGACGTGTGAAGACGAACTACAATCAAGAATGACAAACTGGCCGGGCGCGGTGGCTCACGCCTGTCATCCCGGCACTCTGGGAGGCCGAGGCGGGCAGATTGCTCGAGGTCAGGAGTTCGAGACCAGCCTGAGCAAGAAGCGAGACCCCTGTCTTCTACTATAAAGAGAAAGAAATCAATTGGGCCAACTAATATATATCAGGAAAAATTTAGCCGGGTGGTCGCATGCCTGTACCAGCTACTCGGGGCTGAGGCAGGAGGGACGCTTGAGCCAGAGTTCTGAGGTTCTCTGTGAGCGAGCTGACGCCACGGCATTCACCTAGCCTGGGCAACAAAGCGAGATCTGTCTCAAAAAAAAAAAAATAATATAATAACAAACTTAAAATCTTCGCTAACAACAATATTTTGACTCCTAAAAAGGTCAATATTTCTTTTCTTATTCCCTTCTGAAATAGTCTGTTAGCGGTCAAAAATCCTAATATTAAATAAAAAAAATCTTTAAATATAGCCAAGACAATATTACTAATTCCTTGGAGTATTTTCTTCCCAACGCAGTGGGAAAGTTCGTTCGGGTAGGTATATTCCCCAGCAAGTATTTTTTATTTTTTCTAAGAATATTTTTTATACACGAGAATTCGCATAGGCTAGTCGCAGCGCAAAACACGGCTCACGGAACAGTCAACACCATACGACAGTCATCTGTCAAGCTTTTCAAAGTACTCTTTTCTTTCAGGTTGAAATGTAAGCTCCTACCAGGTCGCAGCACTCTCTCGATAAAAGTTGGGCTGTCAAAATAAAAATTCTGGTTAAAGCATTTGGTTGCACACTCTCTCTCACTGCTAATAGTTTAAGAATCTTTTGTTTGTTTTTTTGTTTCTGTTTGTTTGTTTTTTTGAAGACAGAGTCTGCTGTTGCCCAGCTAGGGAGTAGCCGTGGCATCAAGCCTCGCTCAGCAGCAACCTCAGACTCTCCTGGGCTCAAGCGATCCCTTGCCTCAAGCCTCTCACGGGTGCTGGACTACAGGCGTGCGCCACCATCGGCTAGTTTTTTCTAATATATATCAGTTGGCCAATTAATTTCTTTCTTATTTTATGTTAGAGACGAGCTCGCTCTTGCTCAGGCTGGTCTCGACCCCTGACCTCGAGCAATCGCGCGCCTCGGCCTCCCAGAGTGCTAGGACGAGCATGGCCACCGCGCCCGGCCTGTTTGTTTGTTTTGAAATACCTGCACCCATTTGTTCATGAGGTTGATTTGCTGTAGACCATTCTCTAAGAGTTGTGGGGAAGAGGGAAGATGGAAACAGGAGTATCAATGAGACCATCATTTTCATGTATTTGCAACTCATTTGAGTACCTCACTTTCTTCCTCTAAGGTAACAGTGTGCTCACTGATACGTTGGTGTTTTGGAAAAAAAATACTCTTTTATGTGTAGCATGACGCTAGTGTCTGAGACAGAGAATATTAAACATCTCACTGCCTGGTTATATGCGACACTACTATAAGATTGTAGGTCACGCCTGCAATCCCAGCATTTTGGGAGGCTGAAGTTGGAGGATCTCTTGAGGCCAGGAGTTCAAGACCAGCCTGGGCAACATAGCAAGACCCTGTCTCTAAAAAAAAAAAAAAAAATTGTATTAATAGAAATAATGACTTGATGGTTTGAAGGCCGGATGTTGGCTCTCAGGGAAGAAAAAAAACAAAATAGGCACATGACTTAAAGAAAAAAGAAAGAAAAGAATCAGGCAGAAATCCAGACTAAAATGTCTACTTTGGTGAAACTACTGTTGACTGTGCTATTTTCACTCAAATTGATGCCTAGGCAATAGTGGGCTAGGACAAGCCTTGGAAGGGAAAATAATTTAGGTTCGGGCAAAAGAGGGAATTCGAGCGTGGGTGTGGTCTGTCTGCAGAGACTTCTGCAATTTCTCAGGACTCCTGGTGCAGAATGTTGGTTGCAAAAACAAGCATCGACAGCTAAAATGCGATCCTTCATACAGCACCATGCACGCGACGAAGACGTCTCGCTCACAGATGCAGCCTGGCCTGATTTTACCCCCGACTCTGTGACGAAGGCTAGGTCGTCTAATTCCCGGTTTTTAGCGTGCACGGCGCCATGCAGCTAGAGCGGCAGAAGGCAGGGTCTCACCGCACAGAAACTCTCCCGGGGAAGTACTGTGGCGCCCAATTTTATCCTAAAGGGGTCCGGAGAAGTAAAGCCATTTGCCCGGGGTCACGCGGCTACCGAGTGTCTCTGAGACCACGTCACGGGGCTGAAACCAGGAACTCATGCACGGACCGAGTGTTTTGACTTGAAGCTGCCTTCTTTCCCCCTCAATCAATGGGAGTCGCTGGCTTGGAGGCGCAGATAGGGAACGGCCTGAACACAGACCCGGGGCTCAGAGAGGGAGCCAGGATGGGGATCCCCGAGTATGCGACTCCTACCTGGGCAGACCTGCTCGAGCAACACCCACCTGTCAACACCTACTGGGGAAACAACTACCTGGATAACACCCACCTGAGCAACACCCACCTGTGCAACACCCACCTGAGCAACACCCACCTGGGCAACACCCACCTGTGCAACACCCACCTGTGCAACACCCACCTGTGCAACACCCACCTGGGCAACACCCACCTGGGAAACACCCACCTGTGCAACACCCACCTGGGAAACACCCACCTGAGCAACACCCACCTGAGCAACACCCACCTGGGCAGCACCCACCTGGGCAACACCCACCTGGGCAACACCCACCTGGGCAACACCCACCTGAGCAACACCCACCTGGGCAGCACCCACCTGGGCAACACCCACCTGGGCAACACCCACCTGGGCAACACCCACCTGTGCAACACCCACCTGGGCAACACCCACCTGGGAAACACCCACCTGGGCAACACCCACCTGTGCAACACCCACCTGGGCAACACCCACCTGTGCAACA